ATGTGATTTTAGACAGGTATGAGACTGTCATACTGAAATTGAACTCTTAATCATAATCCACGTTTTATGAATTAGATCCTTTTCTGTACTCGTGCAGAAAGCATTGATTCATCTTCAGCCATGCATTTACCTTTAGAACGGTCATGGACAGCAATAGGAAACCTGTCCACTGCCTCGTGTTTATGAGCGAACAGTTCTGTTATTAACTCGATTCCCATAATAAATGCACAGCATATGCCAGACAAAACACAACCATCTGCCTGATCACTCAAGTAATTGCTTTTTTCAAAGTGACAGCGACTGATGCATAATTCATCATTAGGTAAAACGCAGTGAAGTTTCACAACCGGATGTGTCACCAGACATCAATGTATACAGAGACCAGCAAAGGGGAAAATTTTTATTTTTTACAAACGGTAAAATCCCAGCATGTTTAAAAGTGTTTTTTCAAAATCGGAAAGGCTGTCATCATGCCCTCTGTGTGTGTGTATTTGCGTGTGTGCGTGGGTGATGAAGTGTGTGCTTGCAGGCAGGTAAGTCAGCATGTGCGCAGCCTAGATGTCTCTCCTCTGCCCTCAGGCGTTCTTTTTCCACTCATCTTATTATATCGTGTAACATTCACCTCCCTCCCTCTGTTCTGTCAGCCTCATTCTCCCCTCAACCACTTTGCACTGTTTTTTCTATTCCTGAATTTTTTTATATATAATTTTACTGGCTGTCCTGTCCTGTCTTGTTAACCAGCCTACGCTGCTTTTCTACGCTGTTCTTCTTTTTTCTCTTTTGGCTCCATCACTTTCCTTCACTCCCAGTCTTAGAGAAAGGCCTGTACCTTTTTCAAACAGATGTAGTGCAATGCTGCTTGTCTTGTTGAGATCAAAGTGGCTTTTACTTTGTGCCACGTGTGTGTATTTGTGCCAAAGACATCTCTCTCTAGACTTCCTAATGAAGGAAAGAGGACCGAGTAGGAATAATAAAAACCTAATCAAGCTCCATTTTGTCAAAGATTTTACATTAGCCCTAATGCAAAAGTTTTTGTGGTTTGCAATTGCTGAATTTAGATCATCATTTGCACATTTTAACATGCAGTTTGTATATCAAAATTCTTCCATGAGCAAAGTGTCCCTTACTGAAAGAAAAGTCTTCTTTCCTAATGGCATTCACTGCGGTTAAGTGGTAACCTTACATATGAATAACCGACTGGACTATCTTCCCAATTTGCACTTTTAAAATGAATAAATGTGTTTTTCATTGAGCCTCTGTCTGTGTTAACGAGACACTTTTCACGATCTTAAGGATTCAGTTTGGTTTTGCATTAAAGATTGTGTTTTGTAGTTGTACTTTAATTATTTGACATCTTTGTTTATCTCTTGGGTTTCCTTTTTGTTTGTACTATTACATTGTTGTTTAAGGGATTCTTTGGTCTTTTTCACCGATCGTTGTTACAATCTGTGGAGGAAGATGAAGATAAGAGAGAAGTGAGACAAAACTGGTCAGTGACTACAGAAGGGGTTTGATTACTATCCCAATTTTTCAAGTAAGATTTGAATAGATCATTTTTATGAACATACCAGTTTCAGCAGTAAACCTCTTGGTTGATTGGAATGATCAATTCATCTCAGGGTAAAATAAAATGAGCCCTGTAATTTCCATTCTGATGAAAAATATTGTTTGATGGACAGTTTTGTTTACAGGGACTTCTTAATGCATTTTCATTCATTGTTTCGGTTGCATGTGTTTTTTATTTCTCTTTCATTGATTGTTTTTGGTTGTTGTGTTTTATTTTGTAATTTTAAAATGTCTTCCAATTTCATTTTGGAGTATTTGTACAAAATTCTAGTTTATTAGTCTTTGAGTGGGTAACCTTGCAATTTTATGCCATTATCAATATATAACTTGAAAATGGTATCAAAACAACAGTACTATTGATTATTGCAATAATTTCTGGGGCAGTTTATTGTGCAACAAAGTTTGTTATTGTGACCCATTGCAGGGTCCTGTCCTTTCCGTATTTTACGACAAGCTTCTGTTAGGTGGAATCTCTCAAAGTATGCTTGTGTGAACTTTGTGATCATTGGCAGACATGGGGATAATTTGCATACAGTGTAATATGAATTCCACCAGGTCACACGGCTTAATCGTACAGTCTACAGTCTCATCTTCTTATCTACTTTGCCTTCTTGTTACCGTTTTCTCCAGTCCAGCGCCATTCTGCAGCTTCAGTGCACGGCTCCCTCAACCTGTCTCCAACACGCCACACATCAAGTGAAAGGGTAGGAGGGGATAATGCGAGACGGGAACACAGGCTCAAAGATGAGAGAAGTTGAAAGAAATATGGAAGGAAAGGTAAAAAGGCGAGCATTAGGAGAAGAGGCGACTGGACTGAGGAGGTGAAGGTGGTCGAGTAAAGAGGAACATTACAGAGTCAGATGAATAGACCAGATGGAAGATGCAGGAAAGGGCAAGCAGGACGGGGGAGTGTGTGTGCTGAAGAACTGAATAATCAAAGAAATTGCCTCAGCAGGGCTGACTCTCCTAAACCTTTTGCTTTTCTCAACCTTGGTGTTTCAGCGCTGAAACTTTCCAGTGGAGCATGCCTCAATGCACACATGCTCTTATTTGAATTTGTTTGCCTTGTTTCAACATTAATGCAACTAATTAGAAAGCATTGCTCACATCTGAATAATTTTCTGCTGGTGGAGGATGTGGAAGTGCGTTTTGTCCCACCATATGTTACAGTACAGGTGCCGGTAGATATTAGCAGCAATCCTGCATCCCGTTCGGATGTGTCCTTCCATCCATGTCGGTTTTTCTTTTTAATTTGATGCTACCCTAAACTTAGAATGCAACAGAGTCCAAACTAGACATTTTGCATGTTTTATACCATGAAGAGAAGTCTTTTAAATTCCCAGAATGTTGGCTTGTTAGCTTTTTCAGCATCTAATTATCTATCTCTTTTTCTCTCACTCTGCCTCTCGCTCAGTTGCCCCTGACAGCCACTTTGAGTTTCTCCTCCTCCCCATATTTGCCCTGTCATTCATCATCAGAGTCATTCGGTTCTTCCCTTTCCACAGGGCACAACATCAGCTGGGGAGTCTGGCTCTTACCATGTTGAAGCAGATTTGGATTAACAGAGCAGTGGCAACCCAGGCTAAAACAACTTAAAAAAAAAAAAAATATATATATATATATATATATATATATATATATATATATATATATATATATATATATATATATATATAATAATAACTTAATGAGCACAGGATGAAACTTGTCAGTTAGCGGAAATGCACAAGAACAGCCTCCTGGAATGTAAACCATAAACTACGATGCTTATTAAATTAGTGAAAATCATCCATCCATCCACCCACTCGCCCATCCATCCATCCATCCACCCGGTTTGGCGTTTAGATGCATAACGGAAACCTCCCATGTTGCTACAGTAAATGATGCCAAACACAGCCTCTGAGCTCCTTAGTGGGTTCACACTTTACTTCACTGACTTTGATGCACAAAACAAAATCATTATCTATTTTCTTCTGGAGAGCTCCGGTAAACATCCATTTGGAGCTTATTGAACTGCTGTTTTAACAGCATACCCAAGACAAAGTATGACTCCATGGGTCCTGCTTAATTTTTGCTCTTCATCCCTGAGTCAATGCCCCTAAGCTAAGCTTCCCTCTAAGCTACTCGAATTTACACGTTTGTCAGGACCTGTGTGAGAAACTGTTCTGTGTGACGAGACGACACACAGAAGCCGGCTGACTAATGTGTGCCGCCAAAGAAATCTAATAATTTCCTGAGTGGACCAATACCAAATATTAAAGAATTTGTTGCCAATTATAAAAGGCATCCTGTGGGTTACAAAGGCCTGGCCAGTTTTCCTCGACATCATGATGCTTTACTGCAGCTTTATTTGTATGACAAGCATTTTATTTATTTGAGGCTTAAAGCACAGAATGGATGCATGGACTGATTCATGGTCACAAATATTGCATTTAATTTTTTGAATAGTCAACAGGCACGACCACATTTAAAATCCATACTTCTAATTTTTTTGTCTAAAAGCTCAGGGCTGTCAATGGTGCAGAAAGTGGCCGACTCAATATTGGTAGCAGTGGGTAGTAATTCAGCCGATAATAAAAACTCTTTTGTTGTTTCAAAAACTATTTTCCGTCGAACATTTGTTGTACATTTGCAGATGTTTTATTCTGCACTGAGGTTTTCCAGGAATCTTTTTTAATATTTGTCTCTAAGTAAAGCTTCAGCCTTCTCTGATGTTTGGATTTTTGTATATATTCATTGTTGCCAAGGTGTCAACACCCTTTGCTCTTCGAAATATTTTCTGTTCTATAGTTATCCCTGGTGCTTGACCTTGTGGTATTTGAAAAAAAAACATTGTGGATAACAAAATAGCTTAATGTTGCAACAGATTTACATGATATCAAAAACATTTCATTAAGCATCACCAAATAGAAAATTTATTCCTTTTACGTAAGCCTGAGCTTCAGCTGAACCTGGTCCAGTGAATCCTTTTGGTTTCGAATAGCCTCTGTTTTAACTAAGGGAAATTCACTTCTAGTTTGTACTCCACATAAACCCCGCGTGGTTTAATCCTGATATCAATTAATATTAATGAAATGGCAGTAATTACTTGAACTGGATAAAAAGAATTGGGAACTCTTTGTTCAAGTCTAGAGACATTTTTGAAAGACATTAAAGAGACAAGTGCTGCTAGGATTTGTGTGTGCTGGTGGAAAACAAGCAGGTGTTCTTGTGATCCAGTTCACACACGGAAAACAAAAAAAAAATACAGCACCTACCCCTTTGTTGCCTGAAACGTTGCTGCTCTCAAAGTCACAGCAGAACAAATTCACGGAGTTGAGATGGAACGAGAATATTAAAATAGCACAGTTGGGGGAAAGCAAAGTCTCACGTTTCTCTTTAATTCAACCCTGTATTTTCATTCCCTGATCTTACTTTGCGTTTCATTCTGGCAGATGGAGATGGCTACCAGGATCACCTTCTACCTGCATGTTTGGATGCAGCCTGTCAGCAGAGTGTCATCTACATCGCCAAGCGGAGTTCAAAAGAGGTACACACACAAGCAACCACTTTCACCGGTTAACCTCCCTTGTCCTGCTCAGACCTTTGCTGTCCTTACCCATCTTTCTTTTATGATTGGTAAAACACTATCCCTGTCATCTGATATACTGGTTATTGGATGGTCCTATGGGAGGGAATAATTGAATCCCAAAGTAAAAAGAAACTGCCCTCTTGTTGTCATCTGAGTTATTGAATAAAATCTACTGCGAGATTCTTTTTTATGCTCAAACAGTGCCAAGATTTATGCCACAAGCAAATGTGACCACCATCAGACTTCTGTGTCTATGGTTTATAACCCCAAAGCAACCCACATGCGCAGAAGGAGAACACACAGAAGTAATAATGAATGTCATCGTCTATGGATTGATTAAAGTTATTGAGGGCTGACAGTTTTGCCCTAAAGGAAGTGAATAAAAAGAAAGCGCAACTGCAGTGAAAAATGCTGCTTTAATGTAACCTTGGGGTGCTTTCAGACCAGCCCTGTTTAGTCCACTTTAATCAAACTCTTTAATCGTTTGCCCAGAAAGTCTAGTTCATTTGGGGAGGTGTGGATGCACTTTTGGTCCACCCTGATGTGGACCTAAAATGCAAACTCTGGTTTGCCAAAAAATGTAGGTCTTGGTTCGTTAGAAATGAACTATGGTGTGGTTCATTTCTAACTGTTGAATGTGGATCAAATGCATATTTGAATGCAAAAGATTCTGTGAAAGCGCACCCAAAACAAATGCTTGAGTCTATCGTTATGAGGTGAAACGGCTCGAGGTGTTTTACTAAAGACAAATGAGAAATCCTACAACCACTAATATCTGAAGGCCCTCCATTTTATTTACGTTTTGTGAAGAAGGGAGTTAGGCTCATGTTTTTTTGTCATTTTCTTCAGTGGTTCTTGCTGAAGAAAATGACAAAAACCACCGCAGGTGACTGGGGGAACAGGTTTCTCAAAAGGTTTGGTTCATTTGACGTTGTGAAAGCAAAACCCACCTGGTGAAAATTAAATAACAAATGTTGCAGTTTTGCTCCCCAATCGAACCGGCTCTACCAGACAATCAGGTGTGAAAACACCCTTAGTTTCTTCTGTTTGGTGAGTCTTTCCCAAAAAGACCTTTGGTTTGTCAACCATTCCATAGGGGCTCTGGCTGTATGATTTATTTCATCTACCTGCTGGAAGACAAACCTCCACTCGCCTCAGTCTCAGGTCTGACAGTTAATAACAGAAAGTCTTCCAAGATTGGATGGTATTTAGCTTTATCATCTTTCAATGGCCAGCCTGAAACCAGGTTTCTTGAGCTTAGTAAAGAGAAATAATAATCCCACATTACGTTTTTTATGACAGATTAAAACATAAAAATACCTTTGGATTAGAAATGGATACCTTCAAGTTTTTCAACATGTGAGCAACACAACAAATCTTTACCTGCAGTTCACCAATTGTTTCTCTGATACAATTGTCTATTTCAAGAAGCCAGTAGCCCATGTAGCTCACTGCAGGAGGTCTGGGCTAATGCAGTACTTCACTTTGTTTGTGGAACAATGTGAATGTGACAGATTTGCACCACACGTTTGCTCATGTAGTTTCATCTAATTAACGTGTATGCATTTAATGTAGCACATGCAAACATGTTCTTGCACCCAAATGAGCACACGTCCACTCCACGACCACCTCCATAACATCTTGTGCAATTCTCTCCATTAGCTGTACACTTTGGCAAGGGATCTCCCTTTCATTTTTTCTGACCAGAGAACTGGCATTCGCTCATTTTTAATTCCCAGTCCTCTCCCACACATGCACACGTGTGTATGAAAGACACGTCAATCCTCGTAGATGTGTGCATTCTGTAGAAATGCTTGCTTTCTTCTGTTTTTTTTTTTTGAGTCTGTCAGCAAGACCAAAAATGATTGAAAGAACAAGTGAAAGGAGGAGTGTTGTGGGAGGTGGGGAAGGGAGGACTAATCAGCACTGATGGATGAAGTAAACACACATTCTTTGTTGTTGTGTGTGAGAGACTGTCATTACTGTCAAAGAGACGGGCAAAGATAATAGTGGGCGGAGTGAGGACCAAATCCATATGTCTTTAAACTTCCACAGCTGTTTGGAACTGCTTGGGCATTCCTACAGAAAATATTGTCTTGACTTATGCATTTAAAAAATACAATCATTGCTGTTATGAATAAAAAAAATCTGTATTTTAGTATTTGTTTTTCCTTTTAAGGCATGCAGGATGTGATTTTTTTATAGTTCCTTCACGCCAAGCTTCATTTGACCAAAATCCATTTTCTACTTTTAAAAAAAACTATCGCCTTGAAATGGTTTTATACATTCTCTGATTTTTCAGATCTTTTGCTTTTGGTGTTTTTAAGTCATTGAGGCAGTCAGAAAATCATGCTATCAAAGTAGGAAAAATGTCTCTTGGCTAAAGATGCAAAAAGAAAAAAAAACGCCAACAAGAACAGGTGGAGTAGACAGAATACTTTTCTAAGATATATGGAAATAAAAATATTTATCAGGGATTCACAACAGATCAGTTAGTAGCACTGATTTACGTTAGTCAGCAACAAGTAATTTCTAATTTTTAAAGTTGATTTCATTTCATTATGCTCTAAAACTTCAAAAAGTGAAAAGTTTAAACCTGACAAGTTTTACTTTTTTCAATGAATAAATTATTATATGCAGGCATAGCCAATGTTTATTGGTTCTACAACAATATAACTACTTGAAAAGGGTTAATTCCATATTTAATAACAAAGATTGGATATTTTCAGTGCGATAATTAGTGATTAATTTATTTCTTTTAAATATTTTCAATACTGACAAAAATGGTGACATGACTTTTCCTGTTTCAAGCTTCTTGTGCACAAGTTCGTCAACAGGTTGTTGCTTGATTGAGTGAGTAAATTAGTTGATGCCAATGACCTTGGCATCAACTTAGCTTAGCTCGTCGTGAGAGGTTGAGGGGCTAAAACCCTTCCTCTGCCAACATTCCCCAGAAGGCTGTGCGGTTCTTAGCTTACAGACAAAAGCTAAATTTGCTAAACTGAATTTGCTAGTTCGGCAGTAAGTGCTACAATGAATGTCACAGATATTTATCTTAGTATCACACAATGTGGGTAGAGTACTCAAAAACTAATAGTTGTAATTTGCTTATATTGCTTGTAAATTATGTATAATGAGAGAGGTAGTTCATAGCGTGTTGCTTCTTTACACATAGCAACTGCCTACCAAGATGGCTGTCAGTTACAAAGTTCTTGAAGTGTGACATCATAAGAACTATGTATTAATATCGACACGTGTCTGTCACAATATAAATATCTAAATATCTAAACCTCAGACATTGGTGCTTGGTGTGTTTACTGTGTTTACTGTTGTTTGCTACCTTAGCTCTACCCCTGCAGTCTCTCCAGGCCCTCAGCTGACAGGATTACAGGAGTCTGCGGGGGGGCTTCCCACAGTCTGCTTCATTTTTGCTCTTTCTACACACACTGATCCCATTTATAGCCACTCAGAGCTCCTCTCTCTCTCAGACCCACACCCTCTGTAACACAATGGGATAATACCACAGACAGCAGTGTAATTGTGTGACTCAACTGTCAGACAAATTGAAGAAGGTAGACAGGGTGTATTTTTTTTTATGTCACACACTAACCAGACTGTCTGAAAGATTCCTACCAACAACAAGGAGGCAGAAATCTCAGACCATGACACTGTTATTGTTTTTTTTTTCTTATGGTTAACATTGATGCTAAGCAGTATTTATCCATTCATAATCTTTCAAAGTAAGGACCATTCAGTGTTTTTTTTTTTTTTAACATATTAGAACAAAACTGGGATTAATGTTTGGAGTAAAATGTTTTCAACATACAGCTGACACAACATACTGGAGCACTGCAGAGCTGAATATGGTTAAACACAGTAGGTGTTAATCCTGTCTGGTTTGGATTGTTAGTGGAGTGTTAGTGCTAAGAACAAGATTCTTGCTCTCTGCTCACCTGCCAGCGATGAGTGAGTGACCCAAGCAGCAAGTGTTTGGCCGGCGGCCACGTCGCCTGGCCCTGAGTCAAGGCAAATCACAAAGAAGTGATGAGCTCTGCAGACGCCCCTGCTGTTCTTGTGATTTGGCTTACGTTCACTACAGTGGAGAGCCATTTCGTTCAAAATTCAACAAATAAATTCTGTTACTGATAAATTATTTAATGTATATTCTGTGAAATAAATAAATGTCCCCATTAAAACAAAAAAAAGGAAAGCTTTTGATTAGAGAATTCCCGTACTCCAATGACATGAAAAGTCCCATTAATAGATAAAAAAGTGTAACAAAATAAATTGCCATTATGAAATGAATAAACAATGGAAAGTAAGCTCCCAATTAAAAAATATATTTGTTCTTATTTTACAGGGGGCATTGTTTATAAGGGATATTAATTATTCACTTATGAATAATAGTATTTATTTAACTTCAGATGCAAAGACTTTTTTTTTGCTCTACAATAATGAGCTTATTAATATGAGCACTCTATTTGTATGACCAATTGGTGTGATAATATGGAATATGCTTCTTGTTGGTTAAAGAAAATAACCAAGCATGTCGGAGAGATCTAGCATATGATTAATAAGCATATTTCTAAATGTAATGTTTATATATACTGTACTGTTGGTAAAAGCCCTTCATATCATCACTTTCCTAAAATAATACCCATCTTTTCTTTTCTTCTTCTTCTTTTTTTCCCCTAAGTTGTCTTTTGGCGAAATCAGCTTAATTTTATTGTCAAAATCGCTTTTGGCGGCAAAAAAGTATTTTAGGAAGGTGACGATATTTTAACTTGAATTTAGTAGCAGATGTTGGTTCGATTAGCTTTAACTCTCATTTATTGTGTTCTGTGTTTAGCAGAGAACAAAACTAATATGGTTACACAGGTTGTTTTATGATTGAATAAATCGATTTGATGAAAATTATGAGCTGTTGCAAAAATTGGGCTCTAGAAGGTTTCTGTCCT